GGAACGTGCACGTTCGCCGGGCGACCCCGCCTTTCAGGCAGACGGCACGCACGCTTGTAGGTGGCGCCGGGCCGCGTTGTTAGCGGAGCCGCGTGCAGCGGACCGTCTCGCACCGGACTCGAACGCCGTCGGGCTGGCCTCCATCACGTGGACGCGAGGCGTCAGACAGCGTCTGCGGTCGTCTGAGCGTGTTCGTCGCAGTCGAACGGCGAACACGACGTGGCGCGGGAAAGGTCTGCTTTCACGCATCGCACGACGTACTCCGTCTCCGCACTCCCGTCAGCTCCCAGCGGGCGGTGACGACGAGCGGAAACAGCGTGCGAGCGTCGCGCAACGCCGCTGACGCGGCCAAGCTGCCCTCAGCGGAACACCGTCCTGCCGCGTGGCCCAGCTGCCGCAGGCCACGTCCACGCACCCGCGCGTCGCTCCCGCCGCCGCGAGCCGCGACCGCTGTGGCGGCTCCGCCCCCTGCGCGCGGCTCAGCATGTCAGCGCGGCTGCCGTCTCGCAGGGGCGCACCGCCTTCGAGCGTTCGAAGGAGTCTCGCGCGGGTACAAAACGCGTTAGTGGTGCAGGCGCTGTTCTCCGAGGCCGACGCACGCCTGACCTGAGAAGGCCGGTGAGGATGTAGCGCGCGAGTGAGCTGGTCGCTCCCCATGCTCCAGCAGGTTCACGTAGAAGAGTGGCTCCGCGTACGCACCTGCAGCGGCGACGGGAACGAACGCGACGATGAAGGTTAAACCCGTACCTCGCACGGTAATTGTCGAATCGTAGGTGTTTATGAAGCAAGTTCATTGTGTTCTCTGCCACTGATGGGCGGCGCGTTAAACAAGGTTAGATAGTGTAAAGGAAGGGAAGAAGGGGAAAGAAAAGGAGGAGAAGGAAGACAGGGAGGGAGAGCGAAAGTAGAGGAAGGGAAGATGCCGGAAGACAACACATTAAGCAGAAGAAAGGAAAGAAGCAGGAGGGAGAGGCAGAGAGGGGAGACAGGGACGGAAAAAAAGGTGTCACCTCATCATCTGCTATACAGCCAGCCAGCGGCGCGCAGCCAGCCAAGCAACACGTTTTGGAAAGAGGGAGGGAAGGAAGCGAAAGGGAGGGAAGGAGAGAATGGAACGGAAGGAAGGCAGGGCAAGGAAGGAATGAAGGAAGGAGAGAAGCGGAGGGAAGCAGCGAAGGGAGAGCGGAAGGAAGGATGGATGGAAGGAAGGGAGTGGAGGAAAGGAAGAGAGGGGCGGGAAGAAGTATGGGTGGAGGGGAGGGGAAAGAAGGAAGGACGCGGAAGGGAGAGAGGCAAGAAGTCAAGAAAAGGAAGGAAGGGAAGAAAGAAGGAGGAGATGGCGGGAAAAAATGGAAGGCAGGGAAAAGAGAGAAAGAAGAAGGAAGGCAAGGAAGGCCTGGAGGAAAGCGACGAGGAGCTGGAAGAAAGGAGAAGGAAGGGAGGGAAGGAAGGGAAGGCAGAGAAGGAAGAGAGAAGCGAAGGAATGGCGAGGAATAAAGGCATAGGAAGAGGAGAAGGCAGGCAAACGGAAGGAAAGAGGAAGCGAGAGAAGCGAGGCGAAGCGAAGCAAAGAAGGGAGAGGAAGCGAAGACGGTAAGTAGGAAGGAAGGGAGGAAGGAATACAGGTGTCACCTGCATCATCCGCTATGCCAGCAGGCAGCGGCCGCAGCCGCCACCAAGCACGTGGGGAAGCATGTCGCTCAGAGGTTGGAGCCGCCACACTTGGCGAGCGACGCTGACGGCAGCCGCACGCACGCGGCGGGTTCTCTCAGCCACGACCGGTTGCTACACGTACCTGTCAGCGAACACGCGAAAATCACGTGTACGACACGAAACGCTGGTGCCATGACGGCAAGACGTTATGACACGAAATGGCACCGTCTTTGACATTGGCAATGGAAACGTTATGACACGGACTGTGTAATGCCGGACAGAATGTTGATTACAGCATGGGAATCTTACAACATGAGAACAGTGTGCTAAGACACCGATGATGCTTTTGACACCGACACAGCTATATTACATAATGGCTAGTGCATATTACGACATGCGAACAAAGCCGCTACCGACATGGAACGATGCTGCTACGGCAGCGAACGATGCCACTACAACATCGGAACGAATGCGCTCATCGCACAGCGAACGTACGCGGCTACGACACGCGAACGATGCAGACGCGACTCACCGTATGACTTGGCGGGTCGTGCGCGGTGCGCCGGGCCTCGCGTCGCCATAGCAGATGCCAGGATGCGTGTTGGAAGCACGGCTGTTTCACAGTTTCCTTCTATGAACTCACACAGGTGCGATTAAGTCCCGACTCCTTCCGCCTCATGATTCTCATCTAGTGTAGTGGGAGACGGGGAGAGAGAGAAGTTACACGAATCCATGTCACAGATAATAACAGATTGAACCTAAGGTGAATACAAACGAGCCAGTGCGAGTCATTCCAGTATATTACGTATTATTATTTATCATTTCTTTACATTGCCCCCTACTATTGTACATATAATTATGTAATATAAAATGTGTGTGTATATATATATATATATATATACATATATATATATATAAGACACGAGTCACCACAACCATTTACGTGTTACATAATTCTGCAGTATTTCTTAATATTCATGGGAAGGACAACTTCCTACAAAAGTCCTAGTAAGGGAGGACAACCGTGTGGCACTCACTCATGGCGTCGGTGCGGGTGGTGAGATCGTGATTTGTTTGTTTGTCTGGTCGATCGTTCGCTTTACCTATGATTGTGATGATGGTTTCCACGATGGGGTGCCGACGCGGCTTGTATTCGAATCCTCCTTCGTCCCTCAGCATCGATGTGAGGAAGTTCATCATGATACCTGCCAGCGAGAACATAGCTAGGATGTCAAACACACACGCACACACTGTGTACGCTCATGCTCGCATGCACATACTGTGTACGCTCACGCACGCGCCACGCTGCACGCGACTGCCACGCTACGCACGCACGCACGCACGCACGCACGCACGCACGCACGCACGACGCCTACGCACGCACGCCGCTACGCGGCACGCACGCACCACGCACCACGCACGCACGCACGCACGGCACACACCACAACAACACACACATCACACCCTCATGCCACATTACAGCTTCTTACTTGCGATACTACTAATACTACAACTTGCCAGCCGAGAAACAGAGACGCGCGGAAGTCACATCGCTGT